CGTTGGACCGACACGGGGACAATATCAGGGTACGGCAGACGTTATGCGGGTTGTACTCTTATAACAAATGCCGAATACGGGAAGCATGGTGGCGCGCGTAGGGGTGGATGCGACCGCGCCAGCCACCTGCGCTCGATCTTGCCTCCGGTCTTCTTGACTGTGTCTCGACACCGGGCACAGGTGGGTGGGGAAAGATATAGTCTGGTAGAGACTGTGCAAGTCACCCATCACTTAAAACTAATTCACGCACAAGTCGCCGCTCCTGCAACAACACGTTTGGAGCATTCAGTGGACATCAACGAAATCGATGCTCGAACTGTCGCTTATAATATGTGACCAGGAATAGTTAGGCAAGTGACTCAGAACGAGAGACAAAGACGCTGGATGATACCTTTAGGAAGAGTCCAATGTTTACAGCTCAATGTCAAAGGAAAAACGAAACATGAAATTCAAACAGAACTTTAGATGAACTTCCAGATCGGTTGACGTCGTAACTTTGGAGTGCTAAGGCTTCTGAAATGCTGCGTCGTGAGAAGCAAGCACCGTGTAAAAATTTTGAAATTTCACTCTGTGTAGGAAACGTTAAACGCTCTAAATAGAAGAACCCTAAATTTGACCGTACATGCAATTTCTTCAGCATTTGACCCCCATTGTCTATGGAAATGTACTCCATCGTGCCTTCCTCCTTCACTATTATTGGATGCACCAACTTCTTCTATCCTGTCCTTGCGATACAATGGCAAGGCGGAGGGCCATAACTCTACGGGGAGAATTTGAAACCTATTTATTTTATAAAGAACCCTACTCAGTAACGCCTCTCTGTCTGTTTCATCCGCACAGTTCAAGAGCCGTGGTGTCTGGCGCCACTGGAACGAATTAACACGCGGCTTAAACAAATTTGAGGGCATGGAAATCAGGGATATTATCGTGCCGACCATGGATACCGCGCGCTACAAATACATCCTCGACACCTGCCTCACCTTCAACAGGCCCGTCAACTTTGTTGGCCCTACTGGTACGGGCAAATCTGCCTACGTGCAGGAGAAGTTGATTCGCGATATTGACAAGGAGAAGTACACCCCCTTCTTCATCAATTTCTCCGCCCAAACTAGCGCCAATCAGGTGCAGGTAAGTCAGTGCCAACCATCAATTACCCCCTATCGTTACTATAAGGTATGCAGCTAAGGGGTCAGCGTGATTCTGACCTCGTCAAGGATGCCCCCCTAAACAGAACACGGGAATACAGTAGGGTGCCAAGATTGACAGGAGACTGGTAGTCATTCACAAACTGGCATTGACGCATATACGGTAACGTGGAAATAATAATGAACAACCTCAAGCGAAATGGAAACTTTAAGGAAATATTAGTATTGCTAGTTTGTTTAGAAATATCCCATTTTGTAAAAGAGCCTTAAATTCCGAAAACGTGAAATATCGCTATAGGTGTGACCAATAAATGTGAATACAGTTGTCAGGTTAAAATCGTAAACATACCATTAAGCGTATATTGAGAGAACTTTCCTTTCATCTTATTGCTTTATATCTATTTCTGGTATTGGATTATAATTCGTTTCAGTTCATCGTTGAAAGTTTGATGAATATTTCATGATTTTTTGTCTTTTAAGCCTTTCTTTGATAAACTTAAATTCTACTCGATGTGTTTATCAAAACCTTGGAAAAGCATTTGCCCAAAAAGTCAGTTTCTGGATAATAGCGTCGAGAAAAATGAACGTCTGCAACGAAAGCCTGATGTTGATATGCTTAAGATCAATTAAGAAAACTTTTCACAATACGTTACCTCTCTAAAAAGCACTTTAGTTAGATGTTAATCTGACGAATATCTACGTCAGTTACCGTCAAAGTAACGGCAAAGTAAAAATGGAAAATTTTGACGAAGTTTTGATTTCCCTGAAAAGTAGTGATACGATTTCGACCGGAAAGTAAAAAGCGTACGTTCTCCTTAAATTGAAGCATTTTTTACTATATTTGTTTGCGTTTGAGCCCTATACTAAGATTGCAAATGCACCAACGAGTGGTCGAATGTGTACTAAGATTCTGTTAGAACTGTTAATCTTCCGCCCATTCTGTTAGCGGAAACTATATTGTACAAAAAAGTATCTAAACGCATGTTTCAACTTTAACAAAATTATGTTGCATTCATAATGGGAGGTCTTAAAATTCGACCCACTAACGTATTAGTGAAACGCATAAACTCTATAGTAATCCTTACGTCATCAAGTATGCACAATCGACTGACTGGAACACTGGACACATATAAGTAGCTGCTCCTTACAAGAAACAATTTATTTATCCTCTGTTCCTAGGGACGGGGTATCTGCGCTAGCTTGAAAGAAATATCTCACTGAAATGTGATCCTTCAAGGTTCCTACCCCTCAGCCATAGGTTAAATTAAGACCAATATTCCACATTAAATCCTTTGAAATAAATGTAGAACCCATTCATTCTGCGTTAGACATAGTTCTCTTTCTTAGAGGTTGGCTTATTCATCTGTCGTACACGAACAGGCCTTAATTCTCTTTGCCATTCCTTCAATAAGAATCTCACGATGTCAAAGCTAGACAGGAGACGCAAGGGTGTGTATGGTCTGCCCATGCAGAAAACTGCCGTCTTCTTCATTGACGATATGAACATGCCCCAGAAGGAGGTGTACGGAGCCCAACCACCAATCGAACTCTTGCGCATGTTCATGGATCACGGATATTGGTAAGTCTTCTGCAAACAATTGCTGCCCAACTTCTCGTTAATGTGCAATAGCAGGTGCCTTGTTGGCTTTCCTTCGCATTCAGTCCAGTGACCTCGAATGCATGCTCCGTGCTAATTTACTTGCGAGTCGCGCCTTCTAGCAGTCTGACCCGTATAACTGCCAAAACTTTGAGAAAGGGAGGCTGTTTCCCTTCCGGGGTAAAATAACTCTCAGGTGTATGCTAGCGTACAATTCATGGTGTTCTCAGTTATAGTGCTCGGGCTGTCAGCAGACCGACTTCTATTGGCTGATGGTGATCTCTTCCTATCCCCCGGAGAACGAGGTCTGCAACGAGAGCGCAGACTGGAGATCCTGGCAAATTTCTTTTTAGTTGTTCTCAAAAGATGGTTTAACTTTGTGTGAACTGCATGCCCTTTAGTGTCATGAAACCGGACACTTTGCAGATACTGCCCAATTTACAGCCTGTAGAAAGGCCCTCACGCTCACTCAATTGGCTTTCTGCTTATGCATAGTTTAAGTGAGACTTTTTAGCTC